TGCACTACTTTCACCGGGAACATAGAGCATAGAGGAGAAACAATAATGTACAGAATGTGGAAAATAATGTGTTTTTTTTACTTTAAACCGCATAAACACATTTCATTACACCAAATACACAAAATAATGTTCTTTTTAGCAGCATCATATGACCCCTTTAAGTTTACTTGTGCTACTTAAATCAGCAGGTAGAGGGCACCATTTAAAGGCAAGTTTTGATGCTAAAACCTACATTCTCTCCGAGACAAAACATTGCTCTGTTTGTATACATGTAAAATTTATTGTAAGTGATGCTTCATTTTGAAAAAAAAAAATAGATAGATAGGCCTATCTTACCTTCAGCTCAAAATCAGTCCATAGTTGTTATTTCAGGTTTAATGCAACTAATACAAAACAAAAATGTTAGAAAACAGGTGTATATCATGTAAGATGCATCATATCCTGCAGATTCATCAAATTCTTACAGACATTAAAAATAACTTTCTGGTAACGGTTGCTGTCTTTACTCATTCCAGACCAATTGAACAAACACATGAGAGGCAAAAGCAAAATGGAAATGCTTAAACATTATAAAATGTCATTTGTAACTTTTACCCCCTTCTTGATGCATTTTATAAGTAAGCCAGAAGCTTAAAAGAAGCATGTGATGTTTTCGTACAAGGTTTTAGGTTACTAAGTGTTAATCATGATAATGTGTTTAGTTCAGTCCAAGACAAAGTGATGCAATTCAGTTCCATAAGACAATATAGTGTCTGAAAAAAAGGGTTTGGATGAAACAGTTGTGTAACCTCCAGATGTGGACACCCAATTTTCACTTTCTGTTTTGTGTCCAGACCATATTTAATCAAATATCAAAACGAGCATGTCGGCATATTATGGTTTCTTTTCATTAAAGCTGTTCAGTCTTCCGAAATCTCTTCCGTGTCAGTCTTTCATATCTTTTTATATTGTTTTGAAAGATATTTTCTATGTACATTATATATTTTAAATTTAATGACACACACACACAAAAAAAACAAATAAAAAAAACAAGTGAAAGTTGTGTCTAAATTTCAAATCAAGCTCATCTGGAGGTTACACTATTGTTGACACAATTGTGAATCATCCAGACTCTATTTTCAGACATTACGTGATGGAACTGAATTGCATCACTTTTCCTAAAAGGACATTTGTCTTGGACTGAATCATTAAAAATAAACATCTCTTAATAAATGTTACTTTTTTATATTAATTAGAAAAACTGAGCTCTTACATTTTAGAATTACAATTTCCATAACGATTTGCTGACATAAATATTTTTACTCAGTCAGTATAATCTATCTGTACCCTATAGACGTTTGCTTTTATTGATCAGTTTTGTCTCTCATGTGTCTGTTCATTTTGTCTGGAATGAGTAAAGACAGCAACCATTACCAGAAAGTTACTTTTAATGTTATTTTGATTAGTCTGCAGGATATGACATGACATAATTTCCAATAGAAAAGTTGTTGGAAACTTTGTGTGTGTGTTTTAGATTTGATCAAATTAAACATACACGGAAAAAAATGACCGTGAATTTAACGGTAAAAGACTGTAAAAATGCTACAGTAAAAACCTGTTAAATGGTTAACGGTAAATTACGGATTTTTTTTTTACAGTGTAGCAATTTTGAACTGAAGGTAAGATGCAGATTTGGGCCTTATTTTTTCCAAATGAAGTATCACTTACAGTAAACGAATCAGGTTGAACTTGCTTCATTTCAGTGAGTCATTTGGTTAATTGTCTATTTTCTGCAGCTCAGCAGGAGCATGTCCTCTATGAACGCTATAAACTTCAACCTGAACACACATGTTCAACAAGCTCACAGAATGAAGACGCTGCTGCTTTCACTCCTCTGTAAGTTGATTTCTGTGTGAGTCAGTGTGATTCTGTCATGATCAGATGATCTGAATGATCTGTTTTCTGTTTGTTCAGGTCTGTTTGTGTGGAATCAAACCACAGAAGCTTTCCTTGATCAACGGCTGGTTTTAGGACAGATTGTGACTTTAGTCTGTGAGTTCAGATTAAAAGCCATTATTTGGTTCGTGATGAAACTACCAGCTCGTCCAGAGATGATAACAGTGAACTTTTGGATCAGAAAAAAATGAATATTACGATGAAAAATTCCACGACAAATATTCAGAAGGAGACAGAAGCTGCTTAGTAATCGATAATTAATGTCAGTGTTGATGATTTAGGAATTTATTACTGTGTAAATGCAGTTTGGGCCCCAAAGATCCGAGAAGGTATCAGACTGCACACCCCTGGTAAGTGAGAAACTGCAATACATTTATATAAATGGCAAGAATTAATTACTTTAGTTTAAAATGTTTTGAAATTTTCCAAGCAATACATTACCTGTAAATTTGTAAAGAAATATCTAGATTGTAATCGATTTTAAACCACTGGTTGTACATCTGAGAATATTATCGTTATGGTTTGGGTGCTATTAAAAGCGCACGACGCTGGAGAAATCCAAATAAAGTCTTTAAAGATAAATCCACAGAAGTAATCCAAGAGTAATGCCGAGTTCACACTGCACGATTTTCAAAGACGTCGCATCACTGTTGTTTTCACACTGCGTGACTATCTGGGGTAGCATTCAGTTGCTGCTGTGTTCACATTGCATGATCGGCGACAGGGGGTTTCACACTGCATGACTTTACAATAGGAAGAATCGCCGACAGCTCTGTCTGGTGCAGGGTTGCCAGGTTTTCGCTACAAAACCCGCCCAATTACTACTCAAAACTAGCCTGAAAATAGCCCAATTGCTTTCGAGGGGGTCCCACAGTAAAATACAAATTTTTTATGCAGGGTTCTCCTGAAACATTTTGAACATTTTGAAAAACAAATTTGAGGAGTTTATGTGGGTGTAAAAAAAAAAGTAACAAATCCTTCCCTCACGGGTCATTTTGATCCACCACTGAAAAAGAATGGAATTTTCGGAAAAAAAACTGCTTTTTAATTTATTTCATTTTATCACACTTGAACAAGGATCACACACACACACACACACACACAAACTGAGTGGATTCAAGGACTTTATATGGGTGTAATAAAAAATCCTTCCCTCACGAGTCAATTTGACCTGCCATAAGAATGAATGGAATGTCTGAAAAAATTCCTTTTTTTTATTAGATATAAAAAAAAATTATAATAATCTGACACAATCCAGAAAAGATTTATATCTAAACGAAGGGCTGAGACTACAGAATATTCTCAAAGCAGAAAACACTCACATACCTCCACACACATGGTACACACACGCACATATAAACACATTATAACATGAATGATTAAGGTAAATAAAATCACCAAAAAAATACCTACATAAAAATTAAGAAAAGAAATATACAAATGGATCAATATAAGCTTTCTGGACCAAAATAAATCAAATAAAAATGTGTCATTTTTACCCTTCGGGTCATTTTGACCTGCGAGGGACACTTTTGTTGGTAGGGGAGGGACGGATGAAGGGTTAAAATACTTACTACTGTCATTCACTTATACGTTAATTATCATGAAAATTGTAAACTATGTGACTGTATCTAAAAAAAAAAGACCCGGCCACGGCATATACGAATGTCTATACTGTTTACAAGAGATTTCCCTTGGCTTAAGTGTAATAAATTATTTCTTTCTTTTGAAGAACACAAAAGCAGACTTTAAGTCCCAGTGACCATTCAGTTCTCCTTTTGTTTTCAACAGAAAAAAGTCATGCGGTTTTGTATCAACATAATGGTGAATTGTTTATTTATTTATTTATTATTCACATGATACACAGTCAAGCAAGCTGAATAGGCTCATTTATAGCCTAAGACTTTATCATAACAAAAACAGAGAAACCACAGTGAAATTGTTTTTGAGAATTTTGCATTACATACATGGTTAAGTAACAAACATCAGTCAATCTGAAACACACAACAGTCAAGCTAACGCTATTTTAATCTCATTATTTAACTAAATACACTTCTCTCAAACTGTATGACATGATTTACTCTTGATTATATCATAGGTTTTTTCTTTGGCTTTTGAAAAGGAACCAAAGTGTTGTTGTTTGGATGGGACAGACAAAACTCCACTTCAGAAAACTACAGAACAAAAGATAAATTAGCTTCTAATGTCCATGTAGAAAGATCATATTCACTAAACACACTGAATGCTGAATAAGAGTGCCGTACCTCTTCATCATTTGTGCCGTAAAGCTGCTCCAATTCTTCATTTTGACATTGTTGGTGTGTTTTTTTATATTCCTGAAGTTTGATCTGGAATAGACCTGAAATAACGATTAAATATTATACAATTCATCACTATGTATCATAACGTATCAAGTAATACACAAGAAAGGAAGTATTTTATATGATTTATTATTACTGTTTTGTATACATTCAGAACCCTGAAATCTCACCTATTATTGCAGAAAACATCACAATGTTCAGTATGGTTGTTATCATCATGAAATTAATATAATACACATACATAATGAAACAATACTTCAGTACATTTCAAAGAAACTCTTCATCGAGGAATACACTAAACTTAATTTCAGTGAAACCGAGGAGATTCATTTGAACATTTGATCATGTTTTTTGTACTTTCAACTTGATTGTATCAGATATCTCACCTATTATTGCAATAATCAGCACAGTGTTCAATAGGAAGGATGTAACGGTCAGAATCCTGTGAAAATTGGGTCTTGTTTCACAATGTGTTTGATTATGATCGTTGCATTCTGTTTGATTTTGGTCATGGGCAGATTCTGTTTAAATAGAAGAGTTGTAAGTTTTGTGCTTTTAGTGCCAAATATGATTAAAAACCTCTGATAAAGGAAAAAAAAACATTTATCTCAGTAATGCTGGGTACACATTATACAAGATAATCAGGCTGATTTTGGGCCGATTTCTCCCCTTCTGACAATCCTAGGTAAAGTCCCGATTATCTCGGTGGTTGTACAGATTATTTGATCAGATTTTCCTGTGGTGTGAGGTGTGTTAAGAGTGTCTGAATCTGCTCGGAAGAACGTCGGAGGCGCCCGATCGCGGATCAGAAATCCTGATGTGTGGGGGGAACATCGCGGCACACCACACACTATAGGAGCAAAACGGTTAAATCTAGGATTTTTTTCTCCTCGTGTTTGTGGTCTCTCACATTTTAAAGATCTTATAAGATTTTAAAAAATCTTTTAGTGTGTACCCAGCATAAACATAGCTATAAACGTAGTATATTCTAACACTTGATGTGTTAATTATAAATCTAATTTAGAAATACTTACCAGTAGTGTAAAGTCTGGTGCCATTGCTGAGCTGTAGAGTCCTGCCTGCTTTTGCACAATAATATATTCCTATTTCATTGATAGTTATGTTCCTAATAAATAAACGGCTTAAAGTTTGTAACGAACATTTGTCTTTAAATCTTTTATCATAAAACTGAGTTGTTGTAGATTCTGATGTGAAGGTCCGCAGTATTAGCACTGGAGAATCTGTCAGGTTCTGGAAAACCCAGTAAATATCTTTTACATCAATCTGACAGTCTAAAGACACGTTTTGCCCTAAATTCACCCGTTTAGAAATGAAACTCTCTGTAGTTCGACACACCAGCAGCAGACCTGTGAAGAGACACAGATCATTCAGAATAATGTGTTGAATTTTACATTGTAAACAAAGTAACTTAAACTTACCAAAGAGTAAAAGCTGCACCATCCTCATTCTGTGGTTGTTTAAATGATGTGCATTATAATAATGCAGGCCAATCTGAGCAGAAATGCTTCTGCAGAATAAAAGAGGAAACCAGCAAGAACACTTAGCGAGGAAGTGGAACAGATGTGAAGATTATTAGAGGCCCATGCGCTGATGTTTTCCATAAGGTGTGACTTTGTACACGAACTTGACATATCAACCAGACCAGAGTTGAAGCCAACTAACCCACAGCTGTGAGAAAACAGACTCAGTGCGGACGACTGCAGCAAGACAGTGAAAAACATTGCATTAATACATTAAACAAAGAGAAACCAGAAGACTTACTGAAGTTTATTCAGTCAAATATACATACAGTAGACCTATTTATTGACATTGGAAAATGTTATCCTTATCTCATGAATTTACAATCTGGAGAATAACACCACACACACATTTTAGAGTAAACTAATTAGCATTTATATGTGCTCATTATATATTACAGTGAGCACATTAAATTAAATGGTAACACTTTACAATAAGGTTCCATTAGTTAATGTTAGTTCATGTATTAACAAACAATGAACAAAACATTTATTACATTATTTGTTCATCTTTGTTAATGTTAGTTAATGAAAATACAGTCGTTCATTGTTCATGAACATTCAACACATGCCGGTCATAATAAAAACAGAACAAGATCTTGCATGAACTTAAACTTACAACAGAGTAAAAGCTGCACTGTCCTCATTCTGTGGTTGTTTAACTCAAATGCAATAAGTTGGTTAACTTTACTGCGAATCCGAGCGGAAGTGCAGCAGAACTTACGAAGAAAAACGAGACCACTGTGGTTGAACTTGAAATGGCTGGACAATTTGTGGTCATTAAAGGAATAGCTCACCCAAAAATGAAAATTTGATGAAAATATACTCATCCTCAGACCATCCAAGATGTAGAAGAGTTTGTTTCTTCATCAGAACAGATTTGGAGAAATGTAACATCACATTACTTGCTCATCAATGGATCCTCTGCAGTGAATGGGTGCCGTCAGAATTAAAACAGCTGATAAAAACAACACAATAATCCACACAACTCCAGTCCATCAGTTAATGTCTTCTGAAGCGAAAAGCTGCATGTTTGTAAGAAACAAATCCATCATTAATACGTTTTTAACTTCAAAGCATTGCTTCCAGAAAAAACGAGTGCTCTGTCCTGTTTTCTCCAGTGAAAACGTCATCTTGTCTGAATCAGGAGAGAAATATGTACAGATCAAGCACCGTTTACAAGTCAAAACAGTTCTAAACAAATATGTCAGTGGATTTTGGTGTGGGATGGAGTTTTTCATTGGAGGAAGAGTTATTTTTATTTGCCAGAAACAACGTTTTGAAGTTAAAACACCCTAATGATGGATATGCTTCTTAAAAACACATCTTTTCACTTCAGAAGATGTTAATTGATGGACTGGAGTGGTGTGGATTACTTGTGGATTTCTGTGGTGTTTTTATCAGCTGTTTGGACTCTCATTCTGACGGCACCCATTCACTGCAGAGGATCCATTAGTGAGCAAGTGATGCAATGCTACATTTCTCCAAATCTGTTCTGATGAAGTTACAACTCATCTACATCTTGGATGGCCTGAGGGTGAGTCAATTTTCAGCCATTTTTTTATTTTTGGGTGAACTATCAAGATCTATATGAGATAAGATCTCACATCAGTCAAAAATGTCTTGTTTGTTACATCCAGATGTGACATTCATTGTCACATGATCAATCAAGAGAACCGAATGGACTAATTACTGACACTGCATCCCATTACAATCAGATCTGATTTTAGCAACTCAGAAAGAGACATAAACAAACAATCCAAAACATTACAAAGTTGATTTATTTACTTGATGGACATTTTAATTGCTGACATTGTTATTATGAACAGACAAAAGCAAATCATTATTTCTTTACATTATCAAGCAGCACAGAATTGTGATCATTTGAAGCAAACAGAAATAAATCAACACAATTTCTCAGTATGAAGCTGATTCATATACAGGACCTCTGATATTTGGCAGCACCTCTATATATTCAGGATCTGTTTTTCCTCTGTTACTCTCACGAAACTTCATAGTAGAAATCTAAACGAATGATAAAAAAAACATACATTAGATGCTTATTCCCATTTATCAAAACAGCTCTTCATGTTTACACATTCATTTTTTAAAGAACAATTTTTGTTTTGTTTTCTGTATTATTGTTGCTCAGACTTTTGTGAGCTGGAATATAAAACGTTTGTAATAATAACTGAATTTTTTGCATAAACAGCAATAAGAGCTGTCTTACCTGATGACCATTGACATATTCAGGATTTTTCTTAGATAGTTTATGGTTCATCATTAATAAACCTGAAATAGCACAATAATATTTGATTAAATGCAGCTAAATTCATCAATAAATGTAATACAAACTAAAATGTATTTAAATATTATATTGATGTATAATGAATTATTATTATATACTGTATATCATTTATAATATATTATAAATATGTTTTAAGTATTTAATAAATAAATGTCATTTTTAAATGACAAGTTTAGTGGTTGGTTTAAATATATTATGATCTTGACTTTGTTACTCACGTATAACTGCAGCAAACAGCACAACAGTCAACAGGCTGAACATGATGATGAAAATCTGAAGTGCTGTCTGACTTTTTTGCTCTGGTTCATTGTGACTTCGGGGGGATTCTGTTTTTGAGAAAAATATCATGTTTATCTTTTACAGGTAAAGTAACTTATTTAATATTTGTATAATTATTAGAAGAGAAAAAAAAGGGCTATGGATTCTTGCCATTTAGATTTGTTGCCAGTAACTGTGCAGTGGTGTGCCGTCTGGTACAATCGCTGTCATCTTGAGACATTTCTTTTCGAAAAGCATTAGAGAAAAGAGTGAATGTATTGTTTGGATAGTAAACTTTTTAAATAAAGGACATTCATTCTTTAAATTTAGATCGGGAACAATTTTGCATAAATAACAATAATAATAGAAAAATAATTATATGATATAGCCTAGGCCTACTGATGCTTCTACTAACAATAATAACATAGAAATCAGATGTATAATTCATTCATTGATAACCTAGGGTGCGGTTCCCGAACAAGGCAGTAGCTCATAATACAATGTGTTGTTGGAGAAATAAGTCACGACTGTTTCACGAAAACGTAGAAATGTCGCACATCTGGCCTTCGATCCACATTGCTAAGAACTGCCGTTAATGGCGTCAAGCAGCTGGTGGAGTGATAACTTCTGCTAAATAATCAGTTTAAGGTCAAAGTAATCTCAAATGATTGCTGTAAATAACAAACTTCGCTATTTTCGTTCTCGGTTATTTTGCAGTTCTTCAGATGCTCTTAACAAACTAAGACGCAGAAAGAATGGAATGAAAGATATAGATTATACTACATGTTAGTTTGCTTCATTTGCTCAAGTGCTTGCTTTATTTAAGTCCACATGTCATACTAACAAGAAATTAGGCCTATGCTTCTAACAACAGGTAGTCATAAATATTAACATTAATAATGTAGATCTTAGTTATTTAATGTATTGCAGTTTCTCACTTACCAGAGGTGTGCAGTCTGATGCCATTACTGACCTTTAGATTCCTGCCTGGTTTTATACAGTAATACATTCCTAAATCATCAGCACTGACATTATTTATTAATAAGTGGCTCCAGCCTCCCTCTGAATATTTGCTGATTAATTTTTTGTTGTAATATTCCACCTGTTTAGGTTGTCCAAACGTTTGCAGTATCATCTCTGGACGAGCTGGTAGTTTCATCACAAACCAAATAATGGCTTTTAAATTAAACTCACAGGCTACAGTCACATTCTGTCCTAAAACCAGCCGTTGATCAGTGAAAGCTTCTGTGGTTTGATTCCACACAAACAGACCTGAACAAACAGAAAACAGATCATTCAGATCATCTGATCATGACAGAATCACACTGACTCACACAGAAATCAACTTACAGATGAGAGAAAGCAGCAGCGTCTTCATTCTGTGAGCTTGTTGAACGTGTGTGTTCAGGTTTGTTGGTGACTTTTATAACATTTCATAGAGGAAGTGCTACTGCTGAACTGCAGAAAATACCAAATGAATCAGATGAAATGATGCAAGTTGAACTTATACTGGCCATGCTGGCTCTTGTTGTTTATTTACTGCTATTGGTTGAAGTGTAAGTAATGCCTATTTTGGAAGAGTCAGGCCCAAATATGCTAAATAAAATGTTATTTTTGTTTTAATGAATCTAAAACAGAATTAAGGAAGTTGCCAAAATATACTTTTTCTTTAGGAATGGGCGTATACCATGGGTTTGCATCATATCCTGAAGATTCATCGAGTTATATAGAAGTTAAAAAAAATAACTTTCCAGTTATGGTTGCACACTCTTGTTTAAATGGCAGATTTTTGAGATGTAAAAAATGAATCTGAGATAAATCATGGCAGATCTTTTTTCTGTGTGTTTATAAGAAACAAATACATCATATTAAGACACTTTTAACTTTAAACCGTTACTTCTGTACAAATATATTCAATCTTGCTTTCACCGGTGAAAAAGTCCATCCTCGGTTGTCTTCTCACATCAAAATCCATGTATTTGTTTAGAACTGCTGGACTGTTCTCACTTGTAAACAGTGTTTGTTCAGTGCAGATTTCTCTCCTGATTCATTCGAGATGACTTTTTAATGGAGGAAGTGTTATTATTGGATTATGGACTCGTATTTTGGCCAGAAGAAACAGTTTTAAGTTAAAAGCGTCTTAATGATAGTTTTGTTTTTTAGAAGCACGCAACTTTTCGCTTCAGAAGATATTAATTGATGGACTGGAGTGGTGAGGATTATTGTGATGTTTTTATCAGCTGTTTGGACTCTCATTCTGACGGCACCCATTCACTGCTAGGATCCACTGGTGAACAAGTGATGGAATGCTGCGTTTCTCCATCTGTTTGAGGCTACGGTTACACTAGTTCGTTTTCGTTTTAAAACGCATAACTTTTGCTACGGTTACGCCTGTCGTTGCAGCATTTTCGACCCTCGCTGCAAACCCCATTTTAGTTTGAAAACTCCGGGGTTGCGTTTCAGTGTAAAGTTGTAAACGGACCAAAACATTGAGAAAACGGCTGGTTGTACCTGCATGAACGGTCATGTGATATGCGTGTTCGGTTGTGTAGTGTGGACGGAAATCGTTTCTGAAACGCAGTGAAAACGCAAGTCTAGACGAGCATCGTTTTCATTTTAAACCAAAAGCGCACTAGTGTAAACAGGGCCTGAATGAAAATACAGCAGCAGTCTATCAGCTTAGCACGTTTTGTTTTTCCAATTTTTTTGTTCAACTCTTTCTTGTAGAATGGCTTCAGATTGATCATCAGGGGGATCTTCTATGCAGTCATAATAAAAAATGGTTTAGTTAATATAAAGTTTTATTGACATTTAACTATAGACATTTTATGGTGTTTTTTATTATGAATAGACAAAAGCAAATCATAATTTCATTACTGTTGTTCAAGCAGCACAATGATCATCTGAAGTAAACAACAATAAATCAACACAATCTCTCAGTATGAAGCTGTTTGGCTGAACTTCTAGATATTCAGGATCTGTCAATGGGATCTGAGGAGGAGCAACAGTGGCGCTGGTCTGAATGGATGTTATTCCTCTGTCACACATCTACAAACCCGATTCCAAAAAAGTTGGGACACTGTACAAATTGTGAATAAAAACAGAATGCAATGATGTGGAAGTTTCAAATTTCAATATTTTATTCAGAATACAACATAGATGACATATCAAATGTTTAAACTGAGAAAATGTATAATTTTAAGGGAAAAATAAGTTGATTTTAAATTTCATGGCATCAACACATCTCAAAAAAGTTGGGACAAGGCCATGTTTACCACTGTGTGGCATCCAAAATAATAAATACATACATACATACAGTAGCTGTGATTTATATTCATTGCAATATTGGGCTTATGAATAGATCTCAGAAGTATACATTTATTGAAGTGCATAAACACTTACCAGTTCTGTACAGTCTGGTACAATCCTTATAAACATGTCTTTAGAAAAGCAATGATTAACGTATTTTTTGGATAATTGGTAATCCTTTAAAATAAAATGCATTCAATTTTGCATTAATAATAATAATAATAATATAGATCCCAAATATATAAATTTGTTGCAGCTTATCACTTACCAGTGGTGTGCAATCTGATACCATCACTGATCTCTAGAATATAGCCTGTTTTTATACAGTAATAAATTCCTAAATCATCAACAGTGACAATTATTGATTATTAATTGGCTCCTGTGTCCCTCTAAATATTTGTTGTGGGATTTTTCATTATAATAATAAGTCTCTTCAGATCAAGTTCGCAGTATCCTTACTGGACGAGCAGGTTGTTTCTAGTATCAGTTTTTATTTCTTTTATTTTTTGCGTATTGTAACCCATAACCACAGTTTTACTACGGTTTAACTATAGTAACCATGTGTTTTTTCTTTGCAGTAAAACCATGCTCAATTTTCGTAAGGGAAGAGATATCATCACGGGGGATATTTAATTAGCTTTTTTTTCTCTGCTTGAAATACCTATTTTAAAGCTATGAATATCAACGTGTTACAAGTACACGTGTTTTGTATGTTTGTTTTTAAATGTTTCATACATTTACCTACCGCTCCTGCGTAAACAAGAAGGACTCTTCATTTGTCGCTCTGTTCCGGTTCCGCCTTGCTGTCTGTAAAACCCGCGCGACTTCCGCTGCGAGCGTCAAATATGGCCACGTCCAGATTAGAGACCAATTTTATCCGATTATTATCGCGCTGTGAATCTGTGGCTTCAGAGAGGAGAAATGAGACAGAATGGAGACTGGAGAAGGTAATGTTTAACGACACTGCATTTACGTTTACTTCTGTGCTTTTGAAGTAAATGTTTATATTTTACACAAGAGAATATTCTGCATGATACAACAAATATTGCCAGCGTCATTACACACACACACACACACACACACACACACACACACACAGCATGCATTCAGTTAGTGTCTTATTTGCTTTCTGTTTTTGCTGTGGATATTTTTACAATTCAATGCAATGTCTTCTCGATCATTTTTAGCAGAAAATCATATTTAATAGATTTACATTTGTCTGTTCAAGTACGTTGGTGCTCTTGAGGAGATGCTTGTTGCCCTTAAAAAGAGTCTCAGGTAAAAAGTTTTATAAAATTACAGGCATTAAAGAATCATATGTCTTTAAAAAGTGTAAAAATAATAACAACTATTGCGTGAAAATGAAATATATTAAAGGGGTCATATGATGCGATTTCAAGTTTTCCTTTCTCTTTGGAGTGTTACGAGCTGATTGTGCATAGATAAGATCCCTGAAGTTGCTTGTTTGAGACAAAAATACTGATTAAGCAAATGATTTAACATTTTTTAATAGTGTGAAAATGTACATTTTTACTGACTCTTTATTCTGTTCTTAACAGGGTGTGTCAAATTCCGGTAAGTTTTATATTTTTATGCTTCATTTTAAGAAATTAAATTTCATATCTGAATCATGCCCTTTTTTGTTCTTCATGGTTAGGTTCATTGGAGACAGATCTCAGACACAGAAAGTAGGTGGCGCTCTCTCTCTCACTGATTTTCTGTGTGAACGTGTCACTGGTATCTACAGTATTCCGTTTTTTCTGCTGTATTTTCAGGAGTATTCCTGTAGATGAGCGGCAGTCGGCAGCAGAGCTGGACGCTATTCTACAGCATCATAACAACCTGCAGGAGAAACTGGCCGATGACATGCTGAATCTCGCTCGCAACCTCAAGAACAACACACTCGCGGCCCAGAACATCATCAAGCAGGATAACCAGGTCTGATGCTTTTCTCTCTACACAGCTGTAGTTAATCTGGTGTTTATATATACGACGTAAAGTGCATATTTATGACAGTAATGCCCATCCTCTGAGAGCAGAGAATGTAACACTTTAAAAAAACAAAGTGTGTACATCTTTTAATCAACAACATATTTTATCATTCTCATTCTTGATCGACAGTCAATTCTTGTTACTGTAATATAGGACTTTCCCCCCCATTTCATTAAAAAAATAACATTTTTTAATATGTGCTTACAATAATAATAATAATTATTATTATTATTATTGGGTTGGCGATAATTATATTATTATATTCTAATTATAAAATAATTCAGTTGATAATATGTATATATTATATTACATTACAATTATTGTTATTGATAATTATATTATATTAATAAAATAATGTTATTATTGATGTTATTACATATTTATATATATTACTGTAATATAGGAATTTTTTGCACCCAATCTAGCAAAGTGGTCACCATTTATCTGCCTCAAATTAATTATTGCCAGCTCAAAATAATAAAACAAATGTTGGTTGTAATAATTAAAAACATTTTTTTTGCAAAGCCGAAGAACAACACAAATATTGTGACTTTATATTCTATAAATATTTTTATTCCTTGTTTGCACCAGCTTCATGCTTTTATTATTTTTAAATCTGCATATTCAAATGTATAATAATATTAATAATTATTATTATTATAAATAATGTTATTTACATTTAATATTAAATGATACATTTTATTTAATATAATAATAGTCTTGTAATGTAATATTATATTGTATTATTATTATTATTTTCATTTTTTTAGTGAAAATCACCACATTAATGAGCATTTAGAAATGTAAAGTAGCAGCTTGAAAAGACTGGTTTATTCAAATGAATGTGATTTATCTGTTGTGACCACTAGAGGGCAGCACTGTATGTTACACTAATTATTGAGCTTTCAAACATAAGTGTGCTGTTACTACAGCAACATGGCATTACAAAACTCTATAGAAACTAATATGAGCTTTTTTTTAATGACTTTATCAACACAGTGCCATTAAACTCTAAACCTTTAACATACTCCGATTAAAAGGTTTCTGTTGAATCTCATAGCAGTTAACAGACTGTAAACGTCTCTTTTCCTCCTCTTCAGACTCTCACTCAGTCTATGCGTCAGGCCGACATGAACTTCGAGAAGCTGAAGACCGAGTCAGAGCGTCTGGAGCAACATGCCAAGAAATCCGTCAACTGGTTCCTGTGGCTGATGCTCATCGTCGTCTCCTTCACGTTTATCAGCATGATCCTCTTCATAAGACTGTTCCCGCGACTCAGATGATGTTAATCATCATTAGAACAGCTAGAGTTCATTTATATATAACAACAGGTTTACATAGACACTAGGCCAGCGGTGGCGAACTCCGGTCCTGGAGAGCCGCAGCCCTGCAGAGTTCAGCTCTAACCCTAATTAAAACTCACCTGCCTGTAGCTTCCTAATAACCCTTCAGACCTTGATTAGCTTGTTCAGGTGTGTTTGATTAGGGTTGAAGCAAAACTCTGCAGGGCTGCGGCTCGCCAGGACCGACGTTCGCCACCCCTGCACTAGGCAATAGTAATAAAGATGATTGACAGCCTCGATTATTCAGTCAGTCAGTCCTGCGAACATTTCTGTTACCTGCGTGCCATTGTTGATGTCATAACCAATTTGCGCCGAATCCCTGTGAATGACGTCTTAAATGAATCCTCTTGTAGACTATTTGTTCGAATGTTCGTTTAAATGAATGGTAGCCTATTTGAACTATAAACTGTTTGTCAGTCATTTAAATACGTAACCTGACGCCAAACGTTCTTAATACTAATTTTGGGACCAGCATTTTCGTCTTTTTAAAGATGCGTTTAAGTTTTCGCTGAATTGTCTTCAGTTCCAACAGGTTTATAAAATATTGCTTAATATACTATATTTTGACACTATATACGAGCGTTATAATGACTAACAGTTTCATCCAGCTTTATCTGAATTTAGTCGCTTTCTCACGTACGGTCGCTATAAAAGGGGACCGAGCTGTTTTAAGGTCCGGTTGACCTGTCCAGACTCGCCTTGTCGATCAGGAAATGTTCTGGCAAACAGCAGGAAGTATTTTTGCCCGTCGGGAGCACAGATGGAGACTGTCTTCTCCTCTCGGAGAGTAAATGGCCCATATTTAGCTGCTAACTATCTATTTGTGCTTGTTCCCTATATATACCCTAGCACTTGGACGGAGAATTAAGTATTGTTCAGATATGGTTAACGTGTTTGTTAGTGCGCAGCACTATTGATGGATCTTAATGTTCATTGTTTTGGGGGGTTTTTCTCAGGAAATATTAGGCCTACGTCTTTCAAAAAATATTATATGTTCAGAAAAAATGCTGATGTACATGGAAATGTATGTACTTTGGAATCACATGTTCTTTACGACCCCTGTCGCTGTTAGCTCAGCAGTCCCCTAATGCATCATAAATCATTGTTACTCTGACACGAGACTCCTGTGGACCCAAAGGCCTAATTTTCCAAACCAGGTTGATCCACCTTTGAAGTTAAGTGAGCAGATAAAGCAGCCGTGAGTTTTAATTTCGCGGTTCCTGACAGGGAAAGCTGTGATCCGGCTGGAAGGTGGCAGGTTAGCTGGGGTGAAGGGATTGAAGCGACAGCTCCGCCCGGCCGCGGGTCTCGGGGGAACACAGCAGGTGCTGCAAAGTTCCTGGAAACCACTCAAGTTCACCGAGATTAAGACACAATAAAGCCGCCTTCTCAGGAGATATTTAACCATAAACTGGAAAAGCTTATACTTGATTAACACGAACAAAAAAATGAGTGTCATTTTGGATCACGATTGAGAAAGCGCGCTCAGTGCTGCCAAAACCGATGCTTGTATTCAGCATGTTGTATCTTCTCAAGGTCGATTCTAACGTCATTGTTTTGTTCCACATGAAGAAATGAAGGTCAAATGTGTCCGACGAATGGAAACAGACATGTTTGTACACATATTTCACAGCTCTGATATTTGGCTCGCTTGTGAGTCACGTACTGAGTCAAGACATTTTTATGTCGGGTTTATGTTAAGTTTTGAAGTCGGTGAATAAGTAAAGACAGTACTGTGGTGTGCGGAGGGCTTGTTTTAAACAAAGTTGTTGCAACATGCCCCAGCAGGAAGAGCAGTGTGGGAAACGCTCTTCTGCTTTGATCCTTGGCTGCTCCTCGCAGAAGGAGCCAGTATAATTATGCCGTAGGTCCTCCAGGATGGGTGGTATGGGGGATCTGCCCTCCTGTAAACACTAATGGTGAGCAACACGCAGAAAGTTGTTCAGGAAGCTGTTTGGTTACCTGGTTTCTCAATCTTTCCTCCTTGGTGTTGTGGTAAATAACCTCTTCTTGTTTTGAGACTGTGGTGGCCATGTGTACTCGGGTATATCTTGAGACCGTTTTGATTATGGTAATGTTTAGGTAAAACTTTAGATGATAGATAGATAGGAAAACACCATGTATAGAAAACTGAAATAAGTTGCTAAAACCCGCTGGCATGTGCTGCCAACATGTTTATATTTATATAGACAGCTCCCCATCAAGCCACAAAAAAAAAAAATTCTGTATTGGCAACAGCTGTTTGCTAATCTTTTAAAATCATCACAACTTCTAAATTTGTTCAAACATCTTGCAAACTGATCAGAGGTTGTCTTAAAGGAATAAAACCCGAAAAATGAAAATTTGCTGAAAATGTACTCCCCCTCAGGGCATCCAAGATGTAGAGGAGATTGTTTCATCCTCAGATTTGGAGAAATGTATAGCATTACGTCACTTGCTCAGCAATGGATCCTCTGCAGTGAATGGTCAGTGAATGCCGTCAGAATGAGAGTCCAAACAGCTGATTAAAAACATCACAATAATCCACAAGTAATCCACACCACTCCAGTCCATCAGTTAATGTCTTGTGAAGCCAGCTTTTTATCAGCTGTTTGGACTCTCATTCTGACGGCACCCATTCACTGCAGAGGATCCTTTGGCTAAATTTCTCCACATTTGTTCTGTTGAAGAAACAAACTCATCTACATCTTGGATGGGGGTGGGTAAATTCTCAGCAAATTTTTATTTTTGGGTTAACAATTTCTTTAAGATGCTTCAACTAACCAAAGAATATAAAAACAACTCACTTGATACCAAATAACTAATATTGCTCTTTTATATGCATGAATGAAAGCACTCATAATTTGACGTGGCAAGTATTCAAATACACTTTATAAGGAGTGTCTAAACAAACATCGGTGTAGCTATAGACATCAGATCCATTCATTCTTCTAATACAATGTCAATATCCCACTGGCAAAAATCTCTCGTTATTGACAAAGGGGTGTTAGTTATTTGCTCCGTCAATGTTTAATAATAGTCATTTGACATTTGCTTGTGTGTTTCTTTTAGTTATGGCTTAAAGGTACTTGCGCAGGTGTGGCCCATAAATCGATAGCAGTATTCCTTTTCTTCTTCTTCTTCTTACGTATCTGTCACACACTAATTTATTTAAATGTATTTATATTTTGCACAGGAAATGACATGTGCGTTCAGCGTCTGACAGGTGTGTATGTGGCTGAGTTGATAAAGGGGGACGACAGTAATCTGATCACAGAAATCATTTTGGATTACTGATGCTGCTGTCAGTAAATGAGCTCTTGTATAACAGATCAATTAATCACAGCTTTAAAGCAAGCGAGATGTTCCGTTCCTGTGTGCTTTCACAGATTAAATTGTCCAATTACATTACAGTTGTGTTTTAAATAGGTGCCTTCATGCAACACTCATTTCAATAGTGATCAATGGCAAATCACTGACTTTAATGCAAGCTTGTTAGTACATTATAGTCATCACGAACAAGTCATATTTCAGTGAAATCACCATCACAAACTTTGCATCAAGTTCAAGGTTCTCCTCTTGCTTGAACTATATTTGAACATATAATATAATATAATATAATATATGCTTTTTAAACCATAAAAATAAAACGTCCATGTTTAATGTCAACTACACATTAAATACATATATTTACATTCATTATTAAATCCATAGAATTAAAAATGCTAAATAATTATAAATAAATTCTCAGTTTTAATGTTAAGCTTTACACAATGCAAGACCCTAATATAATATAATATAATATAATATATTTTAAACCCAAACATAAAATTTGTCCATGTCATTTGTCAACTAACAGTAAATACATAATTAAATTCATATGATTGAAAATACAAAATTACTAAATTAAATTATATAACATATTGCATGGATTCAGATTCTAAGCCTCAAAATTCTCATAATGTTTTAAATACAATGGAAGGGTGATAATATAATATACTTTTTAAAAAATCATTAGAAATTTGTCCATATCATTTATTAACTAATATTAGATATATTTATTTCGATTCATAATTAAATGTAATTAAAAATGCTAAATAATTACAATAATTTAAAGTATATCATTTTGTAAAATGTAAAATATTGCATGGATTCCAATTTCAAGCACCAAAATTCTCAGTTTTAATATTAACCTTAAATATAATGGATATAATATAATATAATATAATATTCGTTTGAACAAAAAAAAAATCTTTAAAGGGGTCCAATTATGCTCTTTTACAAAGTCTTGATTTTGTTTTTCCCGTGTTATTGGTCAACTAACAATCGATGCATAGGCTACATTTGAATTTATAATTAAATTCACATAATTAGAAACACTTAATATTTACAATGAATTACAATTGATCGTTTTAAATGTAAACTATTGCATGTAATCAGCATCATCCCTAAAATTCTCACTTTTAACATCAACCCTTAAATACAATGGAAAGGCGTCGATATATTTAATTCACCACTCTTGCTGTCTCTTTATGTGGGCGTTACAGTCTCCACTCCTGACTCCGTTCCAGCAGCCCCGATCCGCCCCGTGTCTCCGGCTCCACCGCTGCTCTGCCCCAGCTGACTGGCAGTACTTGTTTACTGGTGGAGGTACACAGGGAGAGACCATACCGCCGACAACACGAGAGAAGTTTTCCCCCACCTTCAGCCCATTCCCACGCCAATGAGTTCATCGAAACCGCACACCGAGGTCTTGTGGACGGAACTGAGTGGTTTTCTGGGCAGGCCGAGCACGCGTTTGACGCTGGTCTGTTGATTAACGTGGAAGATTAAAAGTCTCTTTATGTGGGCGTTACAGTCTCCACTCCTGACTCCGTTCCAGCAGCCCCGATCCGCCCCGTGTCTCCGGCTCCACCGCTGCTCTGCCCCAGCTGACTGGCAGTACTTGTTTACTGGTGGAGGTACACAGGGAGAGACCATACCGCCGACAACACGAGAGAAGTTTTCCCCACCTTCAGCCCATTCCCACGCCAATGAGTTCATCGAAACCGCACACCGAGGTCTTGTGGACGGAACTGAGTGGTTTTCTGGGCAGGCCGAGCACGCGTTTGACGCTGGTCTGTTGATTAACGTGGAAGATTAAAACGCGACGCGCGTACGCTCACACACTTCGGGAGCATTGTGCTTCTGGAAGCGAAGGCTTTAGGGGAATATCCAGGTGTTTATGGGGCTCTGAACGCTTTTACACAAACGTGTGTGGATGTTTAATATTAGAAGACGGTGGCTTTTTTGACCGTGGAATAGCAAACAAATCATTTAGTGTGTGCGCATGTGTATATGGAGATGAGGAGATGCCCATTCTTCTGATAGGAACATTTGGCAGTGCATGAAACGACCTGTGGAATAACGCTTATTTTTAGTTTTTTTTCCCTTAGAGACGTTCAAATCAGGCATATTATTGGAATTTGTGCCTATTGGGAAGCTTTTCTGTGAACATTTGAGATATTTTTGTTTTTAAAGCAACCCGGGGTAGCCTACCATATCAGCACTACTGTTTGTATTATTAACATTACGTGAATTTTCAAGTTAAAACACGGGTATGAAAAAGTTGCAATGTACTGTACCCTTAAGGGTACCTCATTCCTAGAAGTGTGGGATTGAGTCCACGGAAGAAATGCATGCACGGTTTTCATGCTTGATCTACTGAAAGCAACGATGAATCCGAAAAGGCTTTCAAAATGATTTAGGATGCAGGATAATTTTATTTAATGCTGATTTCTCTAATGCTGCGTAGGCAGCAACTACTTCAATTGAACATTATCTTTAACTGAAGCACGCTGGACCCCTGGGTCCCCTTCTTGGGGGGTCTCATTTAAGTTGTCCCTGACTTTTTTTGGGGGGCCTGGATATAGGCTAATCAAGGTTTTATTTTCTTTTATTGCTCGACGACCGTTTTATGGACACACCAGAGGTGGATTTAATTTTCCAAGAAAACTAAAACGTGTCGCGAAGCATAATGCGGCTGGACACATCTGTGGTTGTTTTGGTCACTTTCGCCTACATCGTGTGCCTCTGCGGATCGCTACATGGAGAAAGTAAGTCACGACACGCTCTAACTCGCTTTAATGCACAAATCTTTATGTGTTATGTGTGCGTGCTGTAGTTTACAACTTGTGGAATTCACTGTATGTAGACTTCGGGCAGCTCCTACATGTGTTGGCGAGGGATGCCGCACGGATTTGATTGTTTTAAAATGACTTGTGTGTTGAAATTAGAAAATTCGAAACCATTTTATGTGTCATATATTTCATAAAGCTGCCATTTAGCTCATTTGTTTTATGAACTCTTATGATTGTAGTTAAACGTATGTTTTTATAAATCGTACCCCCCCCCCAGCTTCCTCTCAAAATGGGCCGTTCCTTAGGCCTGGCGTTCTGCGCGTTCAGCCCAAAAGGCCAGATTAGCGCTCGTGACTGGACTCGGCGGGATTCGCGAGCGCGCGCATGCCTGGATTCCAGTCGAGGAGACGCACGCGCACGCTCTTCACGACACGTTCGATTCGGAAGCGCGTAAACAAGTCGAGGCCCTCAGAAGAATCCCAGACCCCATAAATGTGCGGGATTAGCCTTTCTCTCCATGTATCCAAATCGACTTCGGTGTGATATCAATTATGAAATTCCCAAATGAGAAGGAAAAGAATCGTGTAGGCCTAACATTTTATAATAACGTTTAATTCTGTATAGCGATGATAATTAATATGAATGACTCTTTCTTATTAATTATATCAAACATGATACTATACTTAACAGAACAGTGGGTTGTGTGTATTTAAATCAATATGCTTTAAAATATTCATAATAGTTATTGTTATATAAATATATTCATTTAAATATTTCAAAATGTATAAATACATGAATGTGTGTGTATATATATATATATAGAGAGAGAGAGAGAGAGAGATATAGATATGCCTGCAAAAGTAATTAAGTTATTATTAAGTGTTGCAAAGTTTTATTCATTCATATGTTAAATGGAGACGCTTCTACACGCATTTAGATCCTTTATTACTGTGAAATTTATAGCTACTGTATCTAAACCCCTTCAGCTTTTCCATTTCTGAACATCATTTTAAATTTAGGATAGGCACTTTTATGGGCACACTTAGAATAGTGGGCTGTTAATGTTTTTTTAGAGCTGCCGTCTCAAGGAAGTGCTGGACTGATGCCTGCAATAGTGACACGGTGTTATAAATAATGGTCTGGACTGGAGATAAATAGATCTTCCTTATTATAGGTAACCATTGTATCGCAGTGAGCCATTTGAACTGTAGACTGGAAAATATCAGGTTTTTGCAGGTGGTGTGATTTTTCTGTCAGAAACATGATAAATGTCCATGCAATCTGTTTGTTTTTCATGTAAAGAAAGAAACTTGGCAAAATGAGCAATTAAAAAAAAACAATTTTGCTCTATTTGAAACAATTTTCCCAAGATTGGTTCCAAATCTGAGCTTCCAAATCTTTTGTAGCCGTTACTCTTTTGGAAGACATCTATGGTTGTACTCAAAAATATTAGAATATTAAAATACGCTGGAATAGTTTTAACATTACCGTTGGCCTCACTGACTCCATGGACCTGTTTGGGATCTTCTGACACTCTGTAGTTTGCCTTGCTTGGTATGTCTCCCAAAATTCCAAGGGTGTGGAATGTCTTTGAAGTGGCCCACCCTAGGTAGGTGCTCTTGCCGTTGAGGGTTTCGGGACTCATTTCGGCGTCTGCTACCTGCTGACCTCTTGTCTTCCAGGTCATGTATCTGAACATTTGCCATGTAGCATGTGAGCTCTATGTTCAGCTCTGTGAATCTCCAGGGTGGGCTTTTCCCGGGAAACCGGAGCATTTTCGCAGGCTTCTGTTCGTTGGTGTGTGGCCATTTTCTCGGAAGTTCTTACTCCAAAACCGAGTTGTCATGCATTCACATACAAGAGTTTTTTTTTTAAATGCATGCATGTGTCCATTTAAAAAAATTACTTTATAAAATGTGTGTATTTATTAAAAATGTTAAAAGTAATTTTACAGTGACTTCGAATGTGGCTCATTCAATCAGAATTCCGAATCTGAAATATTTCTCAGTGGAAATGTAATTTCAGACAAAGTTGTTTTGATGACCAATAATAAAATTAAACATAATATGCAGTGATGATTTGCACACAATAAGATCAGAGATGTTTGTTAAAAATCTAAAGAGGTTCTTACTTCAAAATGTTTTTCATGTTCACATATAGGAACTTTGAAACTTTAAATACATGCATAAATTGCATACATTATTTTTATTTTAAATTAGTTATTACAATGCTTGCATGGATTAAAAATACTTCAAAAGTAATAGAAATTGCGTATATCATTTTATATAAAATAATGCACAGATGTTGCTTTTTTCATTCAAAAAAGTGGTGCTTGTTTTAATGAAAGTTGTTTAATAAAAGATAAACGGCAACAAAAAAAAACATTTTTGCAAAAGAAACCATGCAAAGTAACAGCTGCTGTTTCTTTCGGAAAAACGTTTTGCATGTTTTGGAAAGTTTTGCATGTTTTTTCTTTTTCGTGAAAAAAAACCCTTAATTGCAAAAAAGAAAATTTGTGGAAAAACAACGCTTAATGCTCTTTCACACCAAGCACGGTAACTTTAACGATATAGTTCTCCGAATTTAAAAGAAAACCACAACTATAACTATAACGGCACATAGTGGTGAAATCATTGGAATTACTTTGACAACATTTTTGTCCACCTGATGAACGATAAAAACATTGACAGCCAATCTGAATCCATCCTGCTTTTAAGAGCTTGAGAACTTGCAAAACGTTTTTGTGAAAGTGCAAAGTAAACATCGCTTGCTTTTGTAAACTTTTCTTTGTAAGTTTTTAGGGATGCACGATATATCGGCCACCATATCGGTATCGGCCGATAAATGCTCATTTTTCCTGTTATCGGTATCGGCCTGATAAGAAAATTTGGCTGATATCTTAAAGCCGATAAATAATCCTTTGCAGCCTTTTGTGCAATTGTACGTTGTAATATTGTGTTTATTTGATGTATATCTGATTTATCTCATATAGAATGCGTTTGGTTAAGTTAAAAAGAGCGCTTCAGTTTACCGGTGATCATCTTTAGCTCAGTGCACGCAGCTCAAACAGCAGTGCACAACATTAATAACTATGATTGGGAATGTCGTGTATATAACATTCTAATGAGAACATTATTATAATAAAACGTTGTGAATTCTTTGGGTTTAGTTGCTGTGTTTCAGCGCGTTGTTATGGGAAGAGCGCATCCACAACAGGATCACACATTCTGACTATAGCACGCAATAACTGCGTCATTTTGTACATATATAAGTTGTAATATTATGTTTATGTTGTATTAATATTAATCTCAGGATGCATTTCCTTGAGTTAAATAAGCTGCCAGCAAAACGCTTCAGTTTACCATGTTCATTCAGCTCTTCAGCTTCAGCACGCGCAGCTCAACGGCTGCTATTTAAAACAGTGGTATTAATTTGTTACTTTTTCAAAATCATTGATATATTATTAATAACAACAACCACTTGTATTTTTCTCTTATTATTTTCATCAACAATATGGTTTAGTAATTAAAATCATTTAATTATTGTCCGTGCAGAGGCTATTCCGTTTTATTGATCTATGGCACATTCATTTTGATTCTTTACACGTGTAATGATGTCCATTGACTTGTTTGCATTATTTATGCATTATTTTATTTATTTGTAAGACTTTTTATGACTAAATTTGGTAATGGGAGAGTAAAAATATTTTTAAAACGTACACCGTTCAAACTAGGCTGCTTATGTTGAAGTGTTTGGGATGTGGCTTTTAATGATGAGACCTTTTTTGTAATCAGGCTCTCAAAAAGTATATAACAATTTGGATATAGATTTATCGGCCAACATATCGGTTATCGGCTTTCAAAAATAAAGAATAATCGGTTATCGGTATCGGCCAAAATTTTCATATCGGTGCATCCCTATAAGTTTTAGAAGTTGCTGTTTATTAAAAAAAAAACTTGCAAAGCAACACTCCATGTTTTTTTCGTTAAATTTTTTTTGAAAAGCAACAAGTTTACATAAAGAGCTATAACGATGAAGATACAGGTTTTTTTCTTATTTTAAACAAACAGCACAGTCCACATCATAACTGTAACAATAACGACAGAGAAACAATATAATTGGAATCACTTTCAGAATGATGTTTTCCAGCTGATTAACGATAAAGATTGACAGCCAATGAGAATCCATCCTGCTTTAAAGAGCTCGAGAATTTAAAGCGATAGACGTCAAAACTGCAACGCTTGCTTCGAATAAACAGAACATTATTTTGCGCTGGTGTAGAAGCTAATATATTTATCACATGAACGTGCCTTTAATCCCTTTTTTTTTTTTTTTTCTCGCTTTTTCATACACATTTCGCAACATATGTATTATACATTTTTACAAAGAGATCAAGTTAAATACTTTCTGTCTAAATATATAAAGTTAAATATAGCTTTATTTATGAAAGATAAGCAACAACCTTTTTGATACTCATTATATAACTTCAAATTGAGTTTTAAATTGCTGAGAAATCAAGGAAAAGGAAGGTTTTATGATGTAGATTAGACTGTTTTAAACCACTCTTTCTGTTTGTGATCTTGTTACGAACACATCAGTTTTAACTCTACATCCTCGCTTTACCCTGTCAAGAATAAGATGTTCCAGGGCATGAACCGAACAACCTGCCCTTATTCCACCTCTCAGAGACCGTAATTTCCACATTGACGTATTCTGCTGACCTGTTGACTTGTTCAGTCTTCACATAGTCAGGCCTCTACTCAATAATCATTGACTAAAGATTCATGGTGGCTTGTTTCTTTTATTGACACTGTTCTCCATGTCAGGTTGTGGGCCACAAATGAGGTTGATGCCTCTTACAACACGCCTGAAAAATCTGATGTGATGACCCAGTTGCTGTTTGTATCCATCCGGCTTTATCTGTCAGCGATCCCATGCCATAATGTCTCAGTCAAACCATGCTAGTAATGTGGGGA